CCGGCAGGACGGGCCGTAGCCCTTTGGCGTGTGCGAGGCGCGCGCCTGCCCCGTGACTCCCGTGCGCTCTACAGCCGCTCGGACGGAGCTCAGAGCCGTTTCCAGTCACACCCCTATGCAGCTGCCCCTTTGCCCGCCCACGGCCTTTGCGACCTGGCTCCCCCTTTCCCTGACGGGAAGATCCCTCTCAAAATACCTATTGAGTTGTAGGGACCTTTCCCAAGCAGCTGAAAGCCGTAAAATTGGGTAGCTGAACACTGAGAAATTCCTCCAGGTTTGGCTCCAGTGGGACAGGCATTGCATGGGGGTTAATATTCCTCACCCTTTCCCGCCTGTGGGTCTTTCAGCACCTCGCTCCCTTTGGGCTCAAGTCTCAGAAGCAGGGCCCAAGAGCCCTGACCCAGCCGTGCTGAAAACCGCCTGACGTGGAGGGTTAGAAGGGAAGTTTTGTGTCAGCAGCACCAACAGCCTGGCTGCCTGTAATTAACACCAAGCCGGGTTACTTGATTCTAGCCCCTGGCGACCCAATGAGGGGGGAGTGTTGGCGGGCAGCTGTGCACAGAATGACTTGTACGAGAGCCTGGTTAGGAGGAGTGCAAATATTCGCCTTGCCGGGGTGGGTATTTCTGTACTGCCCAAGGGAGCCATCCATGGGCCCCGATCCCGATCTCTGCTTCTCTGGAGCCGTGCCCCTGATTTTGGAGTTCCTCCCGGTCTGCACCAGTGTGGACTGAATTCAGAATCTAGGCCCAGGTGGCTAGTCAGAGCCCCAGTGGGCAGAAGCTCGCTCAGACGTCAGCCCAAGTGCGGAGGGCCTGGGCAGGCCATTCGGGCCTGTTTTGTTTGTATTTTACCTCCTTTGCTCATCCCTGCGAACACCAGGGTCTCCCGCTGCGCTTGCTCTAGCTCTACTGGATGGCCTGTTTCACTCCTGCTTCGGATCCGAGATCCTGCGATAGCAGGGAAATAATCTCGCTGGGAAATCATGGAGCTTGGGAAAGGGCAGCTGCTCTCAGAATTCCACCGAGCCACGACAGGAGTGGCCGAGCCCCCGGGGGACTTCAAACTAGGAGATTGGGACACCGGATCTGGGCGGGCGAGGGGGGTAAGTTTTTAATATTCACTCGGCGGGTGCGTACATTGTCCGTGCTGCTTGGGGAAAGCGTGTCGAGGGCCAGAAGCGATGGGGATTTATTCTCCTTGGGTCCCTCGCGCTGGTCGCGACTGTTAAAAATCCTGGTTCTCTCCGGAGCCAACAGTCGCAGCTGCCCCGGGGGAAGCAGCGACCAGGATCCCAAGCAAAGGCAGAGGAGGGAGCTGCGTCTGGCCCAGCATCCGAGGAACAGCCCCAGGACTTGATGGCAAATTACCCCCGTTCCCCTCTGCTCGCGGAGCTGGCTGTCACTGCAGTGAGTTACGGCCTCCCGCGCTCGGGCCAGGGTCTCCGTGCCGGGCAGACAGTCCCCCTCGGGGGCCGGGGAGTTGTCTGCTCCAGACTCATATTTTCCCGTCGCTGGGCAGCGGAACGAATGCTTTACCCGGCTGCCGGAAACCGCCTGACCTGGCTGCTGCTCACCGCCCGCGGCGACGCCACCTTCCTCCCCGGCTGCTTTGGTGCAGGGTGGAAGCCAGAAAGGAGCTCGGAAGGGCTGCTGCCCGCCCACCACCGGCAGGTGCCTGGCTTTGCCAGGGGGGACAGGGCCGGATGCCATAGGACAACCCCCCACTGTCACCCTGGGACCTGAGAAACAGCTGCTGCTCCACGGGGACACGTTCTGGGGCCGGGGCACCCGGCTGGCAGCCTTGCAGGGGACAGGTCCTTCTGGACCGTGGCTGAGAACAGCCACGCTCGTGGCATGGCGGACACCCCGCTCGGGTCCTAGAAGTGAACAGGCCGGTGGGTGGATCCACCCCTGCGCCCCGTACACAAAGGAGCCATTCGGGGGGGTGTGGGGATTAATGAGCCGGAGCTGGATTTTACAGCCAGTCTCCATGACGGGGTGGGGGATCGGTTACACCGCTGGGGATAAAGGGCTTAGGGGTCTGTTTATGCAGCATTATTACTGCGGGGGACTGCGCCGTGACACAAGAAGGAACCGTTTTTAAGGCGCTACCCAGGCCTGGCCCCCTTGAAGGCATGTCTGCTGGGAGAGCTGGGATTTCCACTCTTCCCTCTGCATTGCCCAGAAAGCGGACCCCGTCTTTCAGCATTAACCTGCTGCCTATTCCCCGGCCTACATCACCTCCCCGCCAGTGACCTTGCAGCTTGTGGCTGTGGAGACGCCCTGCCGGAGAGCCAGCCGTCGGAGCGATGAACTTCTGAGGAGCAGAGCGCACGTCGGTGAGAGACGAAGTCGTCCCGTCCTAGGGCCTCAGCCAGGTGATATGAGGCCCTTGTTTTCAAATTAAGTTGGGCCCCTCGGCTCCAGAGTTATGGAGCAAAGCCACCCCGACAGGCTTGAACACCAGGAGGCAAATGAAAGGCCCCCGTCAATCATTCTTACCAACCCAAGCTGGGGTTGGTCCCACTGCTTCAGTCAAAGTCCCATTCACCCCGTGCTGGTTGTCTAACGAGGGCGGGTGTGTCTCTTGACTCTCCAGAGAGTCAGGCAATGTCCGGGCCTCGGGGAGTTTCCCGTCAGCTTGGATGATGTGCAGAAGAGGAGGCAGGGCCCTGTGGCTCTTGGCCTTATTTTTGTACTTGCTATTGCCACAGTATAAATCTGGCGCAAACCTTCGCAGGAGCTTTTATGGGCCCTTCTGGGTCGGTCGAGTTGTGAGGTGAACGAGCCAGGGAGAACTCAGTAGCAGCCTCAGTCGCTGCACGGTCCAGCCTGCGCAGTGAACGAGGCAGGGGCTCTGGAGGGGAAATAGCAGGGCGCTGTGTAGCCGGAGGCCTGGTGGGAACGATGTGCCCCAGGGGCAAAGCTAAGATTGGCTTGGTAACTGGAACGCCGGCCGTCGCCGTGGTTTCCGAGTGGCCGGCGCGAGGCTGCTCGTAGCAGAGTTCTGGCTAGCTTTCGGCCGTGGCCAGAGCTAGCCCGGGCTACGTGAGAAGAGTGACTCAAACCCAGACCTGGGTGCTGCTCGGTCCTGGTTTGGGGGTCCTGTAATGGGTGGACGTGGCGTCGAGAGAGAGAACTGGGGTTTTGCCGGATGCATGGAGGTTGGCCGGAGGCTCCCACAGAGCTGCCCATGACTGCGACTCCCCCAGGAGAACCCTCAACTGAGAACGGTGATTCGGCCATGGCTCCCCGCCGGCCACGAGCTAGTGTGGCTGGGACTGAGCCAGTGCCGGCATGGCCCTAAGGAACGTGAGGAGCCTGGGTGGGCTCTTCAGAGCCTCCCTCCGCTCCGGTTGTCCCAGTCCTGCCTGGGAACTCGGAAGGGCCTTTTGCCGGGTGTTAGGACTTGGGAGACTGAAACGTGAGGAGCCTGGGTGGGCTCTTCAGAGCCTCCCTCCGCTCCGGTTGTCCCAGTCCTGCCTGGGAACTCGGAAGGGCCTTTTGCCGGGTGTTAGGACTTGGGAGACTTAGTGTGCGGGTCGTTCCTGGCCGGAGCAGCGCTGCTGGCGCGGGGTGGGTGGCCCGTGTGTCCTGATCTGACCGGTAACATCTGAGGGCCAAGGAGAGCATGTCTAAGAGTTGCACCTTCGTCTGCTGGGCCCGGGGCCTGGTGCCAAGCTCCTGCTCTCTCGGCTGATCTAGCTGCCGATACATACCCGGCCTGTGATAAGTCTCCCTGCCCCGCCGTGATTCTGCAAAGGTCACTCGGCATCCCAGTCTGCTCCCTCGTCTTTGCCCGCCGTTGGTAGCAGGTGTGCGGCTGTAACACGGTGCTCTACAGCTGCCAGCACCTGTCAGGCTGCGCTCGGTGGCGGAAGACCAACAGTAAAACTCCAGGGAGAGGAACGTGGTCTCCCTCGCATTGGGACGGTGTTGTATCCACGTGGCACCGTGGTGACGCCAACTCTGTGTTCCTTTGCTGTGCCTCACCTCACCCTGGCAGGGCCTTCCCTGACTCCTCTCCTCAGCCTCTCCCCGCTCACGCCAAGCCCTGTTCTAGCCTTCTCCATCCTCTGATCTTTGTCCACCGGTCCTTCTGACCCTGACGCTTATTCCAGAGGGCTGGGTGTACTGCGACTGTGAGTCACCGTGAACGCCCCCTCATGCCCGACGCCGCCTGCTCCCCTTCCTGGAGGGAACAAGGACTAGCGGAGGACTGGAAAATGGCCAGTGGGGGGGTGAATTCCCTCAGGGTGCTGTCATGAGACCACCAGGCCGAGGGGCGGAGCAAGGGCCGTGTCAGGGGAAGGCCTGGAAGTCTCCCGTCTCGTTCGCCGGTTCCTTCTGTGCTTCAGGCCCGTGTGGCCGGCTGGAGCGGTCACGGAGCGGCGGCCGCCCGCCGCGTTCGGAAAGCCCCCTCGCCACCGTCCGGCCTGCAGCACGCCTTGGCCCAGGAGAGGCCTGCCTGACTAGAGTCCTTAGGGGAGCTGGCTGGGTCTGCCTTTGGCAAGCGGCTCGCCTGTGGCAAACCGCGCGTCTGCCGCAGCTCGGATTCCCCGGTTGTGACATGCACCACAGGCTCCATACGCCTGATTTGGAGGACGCCTGTTTCCTCACCCGAGAGGAATGCAGGCCAGGCGCCTCCCTCCACGTCCCTCCATTGGGACTGTGCTGGGCTCTCGCTGGGGACGGGGGCCTAGGCTGTCCCTTTGTGCGGGGGGTGAATGTGCTTGAATGAACACGGAGGTTCTGTCGTTCACTGGCGCCTCGCGCTCTCGGAAGGCCCCATTCCATCCCCTCCCTGGCTGCGCGTAGTGGCGTCCTTGGCCGTGGCCCATCCTGGGGGTGTTCTCCTGCCCTGCGGGGCGAGGGGCTAAGGAGTCAGTGGATTCCTCCCTGGGCGTGCTGGGGCTCAGGGCCAGTGGGCATGTGGGTTTGTACTGCCCGGGGAATTCCTTTCTCTCTCCCTCTGCCCCTCTGGGTGCCCTGTCTCCTGCTTCCCCTCGCGATGCTCTCCCGCCCTCGGCTCCTTTCCCTCGTGCTGGGCTGTGTGCGGAGTGTGGACAGTCTTCATCTTCAGGACATTCATCAGCCGTCATTTCCCTCCTGTCCTCGCTGATGATGGCTCTGGCCAGCCCCTCCTACTAAGGGCAGGGAGAGCCCCCAGCTGCCCCATGCTCTGGGTTCAGGCATGAAACTACCCACGGGTGACCCCCAAAGGGTCGGAGACACCCCGACGGGCAGGGCCTTAGGCGACGCTTGCAGGGCTGTCCGAGTGGGCTGGCCAGGCCTTTGCCTTGCCCCCTGCTGCTCCAGGCAGGCCGGGGCCAGAATGGGCTACACTGCAGCTGCTCTCCATTGTGGCGGGCACACAGCAGGCCGGGGAAACCGAGGGTAAGCTAGAGCAGCCCCGAGGCTGCTGCGATGGGCTGTCATGGCGCTTCCCCGGAGGGCAGGGAGCCGAGCATGCAGATGGGCTCGAGCTGAGGAGGTGCGCTGTGTTCTCTTCCCGTGTTGTGACGCCACCAGAGTCTTTGTTCTCTGCCTTCAGATCTCCTGGTTGCCAACCGCTCCAGCCTGGCCCATGGCCACCGGGGCTTCCTAGACTTCCGCCCCCTGTTTGTGGACGAGTACCGCGAC